TGATGTTGGAGGAGAATCTGGTTATAACACTAAGGAAAAAAATTCACATTATAGAAGGAAAAGGCTAGTTGGTTATGGTATTTCAACCAACCAATTTACGAGGGATATAATTTTGAATGTAAGTGCATATTTGTTATATATTTGTGTTCAATGTTTTCTAGGATTTAAACTAATCGTTTGGTTTATGATATTATTTGGTTTAATTGTATGCTTGGAACAGCTTGGAACTCATTCTGAAATACTTGTATCAAGTGGAAGCCAAAGAGAGAGAAGAGGACCACAACAAGGGTTTAGGGAGATTAGACCAAGGTCTGAAGTTGGAGAAAGTTCTAAGCAGGGAAGCCAAAGAAAAGGCAAAGGAGATAATACCTCTAAGAAACAGAATTAAAGCTTTTGGTTGGCTTAAATGTGTTTTAAAAAGGCTTTTTTGTTTATGTGAAGTTATGGCAGGAAACTAGACTTTAGTTTATGTGTACCTAAACTTGATGTTGGGCACCTTCAAAGCATCTTCTATCTGGTTTGGACTTTGTCTTGGATAGACAAAGCAAACTTGGTTTTGTGTAGTTTGGGCATTTAAATGGAAATGAAAGTGTTCTATGTTCCTTTTAGTTGAGCTTTACCATAAAAAATATGTCAGTTGAAGTTAGGAGTATGTCTGGTCTGGAGTTTTCTCTTCTTTTCTATTTAAAGTTACAATTCCAGTATATTTAAGGTTTCTTTTGCCCTGTTTTTCTATTTAAAGTTGCAGTTCCAGTATATTTAAGGTTTCTTTCCCCCTATTTTCTTGTTTAAAGTTGCAGAGCCAGTATATTTAAGGTTTCCTTCACCATGTTTTCCTTTTGACATTTTGGCAAAGTTTCTCTTGCCATTTTGGCAAAGTTTCTCTTCCCTTTGTCTATTTCTAGCATACCAATTCTATGTTATGTTTTTATCAATTTTGGCAGAGTTTATCTTGCCTTTGTCTGTTTCCAGTATACCAATTATATGTTCTATTTTTGTCAATTTTGGCAGAGTTTATCTTGCCTTTGTCTGTTTCCAGCATACCAATTATATATTTTGTATCAAGATAACATTAGACATAAATGATAATAGACGTAATTTTCATTGCTGTCACATAATGGATTACAATCAAATGGCCATTTCCATAATGGCTAATATACAAGCACGGAATCACCATTTACCTAATACAATCTTATGACCATTACCATATAACATCAGGAAAGAAGCCCATTTACATTGAAACAATCATGACCATTTTCCCTGTAAGATTTTCAAACACATCACTTCTACCAAATCAAACAAACAACTAGCACTAGACAATACTATACTGTAGAAGAAAAACTACAAAAAAAAAAAAAAAAAAT